GCCCGAGTTGCAACCCTAATTCAGTGCACCTTTCCTAAGTAGCTTTTCTTAGGCATGAGCTGCTTTTTGTCTATATCTTGTGCAGATCTGTACACTCTTATGTAAACACCTTTTTCATTCTATTATAACTCGTTTACTCTTTCCTGAAATAATGGAGTTATATAAACTCTTTTTCTCATTCTCATGTAATTCAGTTACTTTTTCCCAATACAACGAATTTGAGAGGATCAAATTTTGGAAGCTGGAGATGACATTGGTTTTCTCTAGTATCTGATCTACTTATGAGTAATATGATTCTCCTTATGGTGTTCATGTATTCTTTTGTACATTTCCTTTATGCTTGAGTGTGATTGCTCCTTCACATGCAGAGTTGGTTAGAGGATATTTTTATTCGCTTTTACCTTTCCAAATTTTGTTTATTACAAAATGGAAGAGTTGTAATAAAGAATGAGTTTATGCAACTCTTGGATACCTTTCCCAACAATTATGGTGGCCCTATAAAAGGATAGCTACAAAGTAAATGGCTAAGAGTTGCATAATCAGTGTTGCATGGACTTTGGCACAAAATTCATAATCTAATATATGTCCAGAAGTCTGACTCAGCAAGATGAAAGGACATGTATTTAGATGTCTAAAGGAAAAGTGCAATAGTGCATACTACTTATGTTTGTGACTTATCAACGTTCCATAGGAAAAAATAGTAGCCATCGTGTACATTAGCTGTCCATGGAGTGCCGTCAACTGGCACTTGTCCAAGGGGACACTTCATCCATTTAGGAGAGTCCATGCAACAATGGTAATGATATTTAGATGAGGAACTGCAAAAGTGTTGTTTCTGTTAATAATGTTAGATATTCTCCCATACAACCAACTAGTTCTTCTTATTTGAAGGTACAATATTTTATATGTAAACTTTTTATCCATCCTTCTGGGCCATTATGACATCTGATACTTTTGCAGGACCTACCTGAGGATGCTGTTGTTACGATATGTGGTCATGTCTTTTGTTATCAGTGTGTATCTGAATATTTAACGGGTGATGATAACACATGCCCTGCTCCTCAATGCAAAGAACAACTTGGTTCTGATGTTGTATTTTCTAGAGCTACTTTAAGAAGTTCTATTTCTGATGATCTTGGTAGTTATTCCAAGAATGCTTTTGAAGTTGCTGAGAAATCTGTAGTTCCACAGAATATATATAGTTCTTCCAAAATCAGAGCTGCTCTTGATATTCTATTGTCTCATTGTAAATTAAAAGAGTCAAGTGCGGAAATTTATTCTGAAGGATGGAGGCATAATGAAGTTTCTTTATCTTCTGAAACTACACACTCGGAGCAGTGCTTCTCTGAGGTTAATGCTGCAAAACAAAGGGAGATAGATTCAAACTCTCGAAGTGAAGGAACAACCAAGGCCATTGTTTTCTCCCAGTGGACTAGGATGCTGGACTTACTTGAGATTTCACTGAAAGATTCTTTTATCCAGTACAGAAGACTTGATGGGACGATGTCCTTGGCTTTGAGAGACAAGGCTGTGAAAGATTTCAATAGTGATCCAGAGGTTTGACTCCCTAACAAAATAATCAAGTGGTTATGGCTGCTTATGTTTTCTTTTTGGTGGGCAAACTGGAGCTTGGTCAAAGTTCTAGCAGATTAGTTCATGGGGAAACTGGGATAGGAATTTGGGCTTTAAAGTCTTCAGAGAGTAAATAAAATTAGTAGGAGTCTCATGTTGCTACTATTTTGGGTGCTCATTATTTATGTACCAACATATAATTGACATAATGTTTTGTTGTTTACCATGGGCTTCGGTTATGGCTATAGTATTTTTACTTACATCAAATTATACTTTTTATTGCAGGTGACTGTTATGCTGATGTCACTCAAAGCAGGAAACCTTGGCTTAAACATGGTTGCTGCTTGTCATGTTATTCTTCTTGATCTTTGGTGGAATCCAACAACAGAAGATCAGGCTGTTGATCGGGCGCATAGAATTGGGCAGACTCGTCAAGTAACTGTTTCACGTTTAACTGTTAAAGATACGGTGGAAGATCGGATTTTAGCTCTCCAGGTATAAGCTATTTTTCACTTTCTTTCCTCTTTCCCCCCCTTTTTTAACAAGATTGGGTTTCATAATTTTTTTATCAATACTTTTGGGTGTCATAACTTTTGTTCACTAATAAGCTAGGCATTATTCTGTTTTATGTTCTTTCCTTTTAGTATGATCAACTCACATGATTTTTGCAGCATTCTTGCCTGTTGTCTCATCTCAGTTGTGTCGCTAAGGAAATTTAAGTTAACTTTATGAATCTATAGGCCTTATAGGATGCAACTATAAATTTGGTTACAGTAGAAAAACCAGCAATAGAGAATTGGAATAATCAAAAAGAAGGAAGAAATAAGAATAGGAGAGAAGAGAAGAACAATGGAAGAAAAGGAGGATGGAGATGAGAAATATGATCTATTTTCATTCCCTCTCCTAATTAACTTTTATTAATTCTAAATACAAATCTTGATGTAATTGCAAGAAACCCCTTAAGAGGGCGGCTACTAAAAAGAACAAATAAAAGTTGTTAACAGGTCCATATGTGTGAAGCCCATTAACCTAAAATAAAAATTAAAAGAATGCTGTCTTCCTATGGTTCCATCTGGCACAACATTGCTATACTCCCTCTCAATCTGAGTATAGATGTCATAGATGTCAATCATGCCTACTTGCTTATTTACTGCTATGACTTGGTCTTCAGAACTCCCTTTGCAAGAATATCATCTGGCTATTCTTCAGAAGCAATGAAAGGTAGGCACACTTCTCCTGGTGCTACTCTTTCACTGATGAAGTGTCTATCCACTTAAATATTGTTGATCTGATCATGATGTATAGGGTTATGTGTTACACTGATGGTAGCCTAATTGTCACGATACAACATTAGTGGTTTATCGTAACTAATGCCCATTTCCTCCACCAAAGACCGTGAACATAATAATTCTGACACACCATGGGCCATAGCCCTATACTCTGCTTTAGTTGAAGACCTAGCCCGCTTGTCATCAACAGAACCTGCCCAATTTGCATGTGTAGGCTTCTAGTTTCATGTTGCCATGCTTCCCAAACAAAATACCCTTAACTGGTGTATATTTCAATCAGGGTTTAAAATGTCGATGTCGATGGAAATGTCGCTTACCAAAATATAGGACATATGTCGGAAATGTCGAGTGGAAATATTGTAAAAGTTAGAGACATTGTGGAAATATTATGAAATATGTGGAAATATGCAATGATATTTTGTAAAATGATAAAA